CACAGAGCCATTCCCGCTACCTCCACCCTCCCCAACCACAACTACATTCAAACACTCTTCCCGCCACCCCACACACTAAAAGAAGAAGAAGAAGAAGAAAAGAAAAACAAGCAAAGACGAACACTTAGCCTCCTCTGACCTCCCACAAGGAGAGCCCAACATTTCTGCCCCGAGGCGCCGCCGAATGCTCCCAAGTCGCACGTAGAGCGTTGGAAGGTAAAGAATGTAACTGACCCACCAGGGACAAGCCAGATGCCTCGAAAGGTACACGACACCATCATCTTTTCAACGGTAAACTATTGGGGATTCTCTTTACCAACTTCTTTCGGCCGCCTCCTTTATTTTATAATAAAAATACGACACGATAATTCACGACCGGAAAAGATTACATGAGAAAGAGAAGACATGCTTTTTTGTGTTAAGTCTCAGTAAGTGATGTTCGGCACTTACAAAAACAAGTAGGTCATATGAGTGCCGAAGATTAAAGGTGTTACATAAAAGTAACAAACACAAAAAAGAAGGAGGAAAGATCAGGACAGCAGATGTTTGATAGAAAAGAAGGAGCAAACCACACGGGAGCACCCGCTTACCACCCACCATCATCTTTACGTAAGTGTATGGGGTTTAATGCCCCTATCAACACTTAATACAAATAGGTTATTTAAGAGGCGAACCCTCCGAATTTAACATCTACCTCCGATAGGACCAAGACAAAGGGGTTTGAGAGCCTTGAAAACTCAACAAAAACGACCGGAGTTCAAGAACACCTTGTCTCGGATTCAAATCACGGCTATCCGCTCCGCAGTCCAACTAGCTATTATAGGTTCTTTTTAACTACTCCCTCCTTTTGCCAGCTTTATACGACACGATAAGATATGTCGGTAAAAAGGTAAGACATGAAACGATCTGGCAAAACAAAGGAAAGGAATCGGACAAGAAACAGTAATACGATACGATATTAAAAATAAGAAAAGACTTAAGAAGGCAAGATACGGCACTTTACGGTACCATACGATTGGTATGGTGAGGTGAGGTGAGATGAGGTGAGAAGAGGAGAGGTGAGGTGAGGTGAGGTAAGGTATGAAACTAACAAATAATTGGCGTGGGACCGTGTATGTGTCCGTGTTCGTATGCGACTTTTTTAGTTATAGTAGAAGTTTTACGGCACTCGCAACTGCATAAGGTCATATGAGCGCCAGAAGATTAGAGGCGTTACAAGAGAGTAACAAACATAAAAAAGAAGAAGGGGAGATAAGGACGATAGATGTTTGATAGGAAAGAAAAAGCAAACCATACCAGAGCACCCACTAACCAAATCCAACTCCCATATTATTATACACTACAAAGATATAGACAGAACGTCTGGATACGGATATGACAGCGACGCGTTTATTTGAGTAGCCTTGCACAAGCGCAAAGTAAGGTTTGATTGGCAGTTTAACAATTCGTCCAACACAGCGTTAAGGTTTTACGGCACTCACAACTGCATAAGGTCATATGAGCGCCAGAAGATTAGAGGCGTTACAAGAGAGTAACAAACATAAAAAAGAAGAACGGGAAACATTGGCGATAGATGTTAGATAGGAAAGAAGAAGCAAACCACACCAGAGCACCCGCCAACCACCCACCATATGCGACTGCAACTGCGGTATAGCGTAGGTAGGTAGGTAGGTAGGTAGGTAGGTAGGTAGGTAGGTAGGTAGGTAGGTA